AAAGTTCATATGGAATTTTTTCAGTAACTTTGTGTGGTATATTATTCAGGATATAGTTCAAGGTAAGCAACGCTTCCCCTCCCACCCCCCCCCCATATGTTCTGGGCTAACCCAGATTCCTGCAATAAGGCGTTTATCATCTCCTTGAGGGTTCAATTCTTTTGTTTCGCAATCCCATTAGATTCAGGTGAGTAGGGAGCAGTTGTTTGATGAATGATACCACTCTCTGCATAATGCATCAAATGGTTCATTATATTCACCTCATCTATCACTTCTTATCATCTTGATCTTTTTATCAAGCTGAATTTGGACTTCCAACTTGTATTCCTTGAATTTCTCAACAGCTTCATCTTTGCTGTGTAACAAATATATGTAGCAATATCTTATATGATCGTCTATGAAGGTCACGAAATACTTCTTTCCACCTCTAGTTTGTATATATTTTAAATCACACAAGTCTGCATGAATCAAACCTAGAGTCTTGGTTGTTCTTTCCATGTTTGGTGATGGCATTTTTGTGAGTTTGGATTGTACGCAAACCTCACATTTGTGATATGTTGAATTTTGGGATCATGTTCATATTCATCAATCAACTCATAGACTTGAAGTTAACATGTCTTAAACATTCATGCCAGATATTAGAGGACTCCGCAACATTGGTTTCTTTTCACTCATCTTTTGAATTTCAGTTACATCATTCTTATTGTTAGGAACTGCTGCCTCAACAGACATCCTAAAAAACTCATCACAAAAAAAAAACCTTTCCTAAAAACATCCTATTATTGGTTAAGACCAGCTTGTCTCCTTCCACCTTAACAGCAAATCCGTGCTTGCTCATAAGGGATCCCGAGACCAGGTTCTTGCACATGTCTGGAACATAAACAACATTTATGAGTTGCAGCTCTTGCCCGGAGGTGAGCTTCAGAACAACCTTTCAATAACCTTTGATCTTTGAAGTAGCAGAGCTTCCCATACATAACCTGTCTTCACTCTTGTTCTTTGTGTAAGTCGAAAACACTTCAATATCCATGCAGATGTGCCTAGTTGCTCATGTATCATACCACCACGTTTTTGGGTGGCACTCAGCAATGTTTGCCTCAGTCATGACGGCAACCATGTCCTCCTCAGTCAAGTTAGCTTGCGCTTTCTTGCTGCGTCATTCAATGGATTTGTGACATTGCTTTCTGCAGAAGTTGCAAGTCCATATGGACCACCGATTATTCTGGCATTTCTGACAATTCTTGTTCTTGAACTTTCGAGTGTCCTTTGCAAGAATCATCTTTCCTTTTCCTTTGTCTTGGCGTCCCTTCCACTTGGCTTGCTTGTTTTGGTGTTCCACCATTTTAGCATTCATCACGTAACCAGCAACACTCTTTTGGAGCTGTTCCCGGTTCGTGGATTCTACACGAAGTCTCACGATCAGGACTTCAAGGCTCATCCTCTTTTTCTTCATCCTGGGGTAGTTTTTGAAGTCAGTCCATCCAGGTGGAAGCTTCTCGATGATGCAGAAAGCCTGATAGGTTTTGCATATCCCCATTCCCTCAGCGTGGATCTCATAAAGAAGTCTTTGCACTTCTCCGAATTGTTCCATCAATGGCCTCGAATCACTTATCTGATACTGTAGGAATTTCGCGACAGTGAATTTCTGGGATCCATAGTCCTCAATTCAATACTTATTATCAAGGGAATCCCATAGCTCCTTTAAAAAATTTAATTCCAAATTGTTCATACAGCGGTTTGGATTAGGATGTAGCCTTTGCACATATAGTCGATGTGTTCCCACACTTGAACAGTTGCAAGCACCACTGGATCAGTGTTTCCTTCAGAGAGACAAGGTCTTACCTCGTTGGTGTATTTCTGCAGGTTCATAGTCGTCAGATAGAAGAACATCTTCTTTTCCACATCTTGAACTCAGCTGTAGTCCCATCAAAACTTTTGGGAGGAGGAACATGAGTTCCTTTCAAGATTCTGGTCTCGATCAATCATGACACCACAGTTGTTGGAGTACCGTCAAGCACCATCTTTTCCAAATCAAAGGCAACTTCGCCAGCTTCGTTTGTCATTCTGATGTACACGGAATTAATACTTTAAAGTATGTAAAAGAACTAATTTGGTATGAATCAACATTAAAACTTTAAGATCCGCAGATCATCTTCAAATCTCTGCAGAGTATTCGTCGAAGCATTTAAAACGCATTTGAATAATTGTTTTTAGTAAAAAACGCGACTAAAAATCTGTTTTACCAAACTCTAATCCAAAAATTGGCGATTACATGAAGATTGTAATCCCTCTGTATATTGATCGTAACCAATAAAAGGGAGAGTAATAAAGCCGATTAAAATCTAAAAAGTCGTTTTTGAAATCGATTAATTGAAAACCTTTATTTATTCGTGATTAAAATATGTGATGTGTTCATAGAACAATAATAAAATTCTTTGAGTTAAGACTCTAAGACCAATATTTTATAAACTATGATAGAATCGATTCAATCACGAAAACATTAAAGATAATTAAAATCAAATAAAACGAGTTAAAGAAAAATTCGAATCAATAAATTGGAAATTGCATAAATAAGAAACAGAGTCAAGATCAAAATCTTTTTCTTTAACTCAAAGTATCGCCCTTAGTGTAACAGGTATCAAAGATTCATGAGTCCCAGGATACAACCGCTTAACTCCGAATCGCAATGCTTGATTTTGGGTGTGACAAACTAACCGTACAAATATTCTCGAAATTACTAACCTGATGCAATGGGAAATCGAATGAACAATTTGCTTGTTTTTGCTCGGTGTATTTTGATCTCCAATTCAGGATTTTTGGATGTCTCAAAAGAAGAAGCTTCTGACCTATATATATATATATATATATATATATATATATATATAAGATCTATGCTACTTGAAAATATTTCAAGTTTTCGATATGGGACAAATTAACTTCCTACAAAAAATTATAACCAATAAAAATATTTCATTTATATGAACTACAATATATTCGTTATTAATGCCTCTAAATAATCTTCTTCTTCTTTTTCACAAAGCCGTCTTAATCCAAAGCAAAACATGTATTAATTGATCTACATAATATACAAAATTACAAAAAAAAACACCACAACTTACATAATACTTAAGCCTGTCCATAAAACACGAGAGATCGGTGTGGAATTAAAAGTTCTTCTTTAAAACATCTCTTGAAAACACGGTTGGATCCCAAATGATGAAACTCTTGCCGCTTTGGCTCTAGGGGATGATTGAATCCGTTGATGAATCGAAATCTACATCGTTGTGATTTGGAGTTCTCTTCTTCATTTCGAACTACATCGTTGTGGTTACAAACTCTCTGGTGCACCTTGAATCATCATACAAGAGAACAATCACAATTTGCTTTCGACAACAAATTAATAAATTCTTGTTGATTTTGACGATGGTCTGCACTTTTTACCTCTATGGCGATTACTAAGAACCAAATTGTTCCGAAAATTCAGAGTTTCAACAGATGAAAGATTCTTAAAAAGCACGTAATCGGCAGTTCGCCACACTAAGGGTTTTGTTTGTTTTTTAATCTTCTTGTGTTCTCTTTTGTGTGTGTGTGTGTGTAATTTGTATATGTAAACTTCGATTTATTGGATTTTTCTTGATTGGTGTCACAGACGTTGAACTCAAAAACTCTACAATTCTTTTTGAAGGAAGGAAGTGTTTTTGAGTCAAACCCCATGCTCAAATTTTGGAGTTTGTTTTCTATTTCTAAAGTTTTGAAAGTTTCTGAGCAATTACAGTAAGAACGATCTTGTTAAGATACATGTGACCTAGAGCAAAAGTCAATAATTCAAAGAAATCACAAACTAACCAAAGAACTGTTCTTCTTATAAATTTAATTACTAGTTTCCAGCTTCACTCACAACTATAATCTTTTTTATCTTTTACTGAGTGTAGACTATCTGTTGATGTGTTTATTTATTGTAGGTCTTCCTCCAAATGAACTTTGGAAACAACTTCTCTCTGTTTTAGCCAATTAGTGAAAAATAAATCGTGTATTAGATATCAATTGTGCCTTGTTCCTTACGCAATTATACGTTTATTAATGTTATTTTGATTCTACTAATGGTGTGTTTGATGCATTCTCATATGTTCATTGCATGATCTGGGATTTTATATGCTTGTATTGCATATTAGACAAACAATAGAAATCAAACCAGTTGTGAAGGGTTTAGTTTAATGCGTGTTCGAAATTACACATTCATTATTTATTTTTAGGACGTGTTATTAATTTATGTATTTAATTGATTTAAGAATCAATATAATCTTTGTAAAATTTATTGATTTTTAAATCTAAGATGTAAAATTTACAAAATTATAAGTTTAATCTTGGATTTGAGTTATTGTATTTTTAACATGGAAATTCTTCCAAATCCACAAAATTTCTGTTTAAAATTAAATCCATGATTTTAAAATCATGAACCCAATAACATAGAATTTGAATATAGATTTTAAAATCATAAAACCAATAATACTGAATTTGAATATAGATTTTAAAATCATAGAACTAATAACACTGAATTTGATTAATTTTTCTAAATCTGTTAAAATTATAGAACCAACAATCCCCACTTAGTATAGAGATTATACATTCGTTATTTAGTTCCATCAAATCTCTTAAATTTTTTGATAACACTAACCCAATTTCAGCTGTATTTTTCATATCAACTATTTTTTTCCTATAATTCGGATAGTAGATACTAGATAGTATTACTATTTGATAATTTATAGTATGATCTGATTTTGAACAAAATAAAGATATTACGATTTGATCACCTACTAATAATATTATCTTCTTTTTTTGGGTCAAAGGTTTTTTAAATTAATCTTGATAAAGTTCTACAAGGAACTCAATGGGTTTAAACAAAAAAAAAAAAAAATTTTAGCGAGCCCATCTGCACATCTGTTTGCAGCACGGGTGATGAAACCAAAGGAAATAGAAGAAAAGAGAGGAACAAGGCATCAAACATCAATGAGGATGCCTGCTGTCTCTGTTAAATCCGACCCTGCTAGGAGGGTGTTGATGAGGACTTCCGAGTCCGATAATAGATGGATCTCTCTGATCTCCTCCGAGAGGGCGTCGCTGAGGGCAGCTAGAACCTCCAGGGCTTCAGCAACTAAATCTGAGGAGATGAAACGTCTGGCAAAAGATCGTGGCGCCATCCGAGTCCGTGAATACCCATCCCATACCTTTTTGTTTTTGCTATCCTGGCACCATCTATGCAGCAGATCGTGGTCGTAGGGGGAGGTGGAGGTCTTGATGGTTTTAGGGACTTCGATGGTGTTTGAATCGGAGTTTGGTTGGCTGAGTGCCAATGCGAGGCTTCCGAAGAAGCTTTTGCTACCAAATCAGAAGCTGAGAAGCTCGTCCCTTCGAAGATAAGTTTGTTCCTGGAAGTCCAGAGGTACCACAAGATCCAGGGGAAGAGTGGAGTCTCAAGCAATCCAGAGGATGGGAGATTTTTAGTGTTGTAAAGGGACCACATGAGGCTTCTGGAGTCAGTATCTGATGGGAGCGTCGCTGGATTCGGCGTTAAGGGGGATAGTCTCCAGACCGCCTGAGCGAAAGGGCATTCGAACCATATGTGGGATATTGACTCTTGGTGGCCGCATCTTGTGCAGCACGAGTTGGCATCAATGCCTCGCCAGAGTAGATTCACTCCCACTAGAAGAGCTCCATTGGTTGCTCTCCATAAGTGGTGCTTGAGTTTTTACGCAGTGTGGAGATTCCAGATTTACTGGTACCAACTAAACTTTGTGTCGCCATTCTGGTTGAAGTGTTTTTTTAGATTATATCACGTTTTTGTTGAGAAAAGTCCTGATTTTACAGGTAGTCAAACTAGAGAGTCTGGAGGTTTGGTTGAGCTCGGAATGAGGAGTCCGAATGTATCCTCATAATGAGGTACTAATAATATTATCTTTAACAATTTACTTTACAACTAGAATGAATAGTCGATAGTTTTGCCGGAGAAACATAATAAACTGTATAAAAGGTTTTGGTCACTCATAGGGTTGACTTAACTCGACCATTCTCACTAATGGATGCATTTCAAAGTACTATTTTTTCGTAACCTTTTGGTTTTTGTTGGTATATAATCAAGACTATTAAAATCTAAATAATCCCACTCATAAAAATTAATATAATAATTGCGTTTTGTAATAAATAATTAGATACATTTACAATTTTTTTAAAAAAATCCGATTAACAAACTCGAATAACATCTTTTTGTGAGATAGAAGGGTTTTCTTAATCATTTTTTTGTCCTCTAAACTTTTTTTCTTTTCAGTTTTTATGTTAAAGAACAGAGAAAAATACATCCAAACTTTATAATGAAAACATTTAATTAAATTCCCCAGTGAAGAGTTTTATTCCAAAGGGTTGCAAGCTAGACAGTATATACTTCTATGGGATTGGTCATAAAACAACAAAAGTAGTGTGCATCTCGAAAATAACCAAAAACTAGTCTATGATAATTATCCCGCCCTTAATCATTAATAATAATTAGAAACATATATTAGAGAAGGATTTGGGACCCGAAAAACTAAATAAAAATTAGAAAGTTTTTTTTTTATTTTTTGAAGAAAGAAACATAAATTAGAGACAAGAAGTCTTTCTCTCCTTTGCCAGAAAGAAAATCATCTTTTCAACTTCTCTCTCTCTCCCTTTCTCTTCTGGTGAAACTGTGGAACCCTAATTTCTTCTCTTCCCTCTTCTCTTTTGGATAAGGAGAACCCTAAATTGCTCTCGCAATCCCAAATCCTTTTATTAGGCGTACATGCTAATGAACCCATCAGTAAATCGATGCGCTTTTTAGGTTTCCGGGAGATTTCGACGACATTTTGATCTCACGAGAGAAGTGAAAGGGATTTCTCAAAAAAAAAGGGTTTCGCCTTTTTGATCTCTAATCGATGGCGAAAGGTACAGCCACTGGCGAGTCTCTGGTTGTTTCACAGGTTCGCACAGGTTGCAAAAGGGAATTGCAATTCATGTTGAAATCTCAGTCCGAGATCTGTGGAGGCGAGTCTCTGGGTCGGACTCGAGGAAGCAGAAACTCGAATAGCGACTCGAGAAGTGTGGATTTCAAGAAAAGGACCCGTCTTCGTGGGAGTAGGATAAAGAAGATGCGTCTTGTGAAAGATGAGGATGTTGTAATGTCTGACTCTGTGGAGGAAGATGATGTCAAGAGTGACGTTGTTGATGTCGATGAAGCGAAGGAAGTGTTTAGTGACTCTGCTTTGGTTGTTGAATCAGAGAAGATTGAGAGTGTGGTGGTGATGAATGAGGAGGATCACTCCAGGGAGCAGCTTGGGAAGAGCTTGCCGGAAGTGAAAGACGCCGAGAAGGAGAGTCCGAGTGTGATTGTGAGAGAGATTGTTATGGCATGTCCTGCGGATTTAAGTGAGTTAGCGAGAATTACTTCAAGATCTTGCCATGTTAAGCTGAAAAGTGGTTTGGTTTATGAGAAACCGGGCAGGAGGTTAACACGGTCCATGTCGAAGTCTGAGAGTGTCAAATCTGAGGCTAATGGTGATGATGAAGATCATATAAACCAAGAAAGCGAAGCTAAATGTAGTGAAGATGCTGAAGGTATCAAATCTGAGGCTAATGTTGATGATGAAGATCATATAAATCAAGAAAGGAGTGAAGATAGCTGTGTTGCTGAAGGTAGGAAACCTGAGGCTAATGGTGATGATGAAGATCATATAAATCAAGAAAGGGAAGCTACATGTGGCGAAGATAACTGTGTTGCTGAAGGCAGCAAATCTGAGGCTAATGGTGATCAAGATCATATAAATCCTGAGGACGCTAAATGCAGCGAAGATAGTTGTGTTGCTGATGGTAGCAAATCCGAGGCTAATGGTGATGTAGAAGATCATATAAATCAAGAAAGGGACGCTACATGTAGCGAAGATAAATGTGTTGCTGAAGGTAGCAGATCTGAGGCTAATGGTAATCAAGATCAAATAAACCAAGAAAGGGAGGCTAATAGTAGCGAAGATAGTTGTGTTGGTGTCAAATCTGAGGCTAATGGTGATGAAGGTCTTATAAATCCTGAGATGGACGCTAAATGTAGCGAAGATAGTTGTGTTGCAGAAGGTAGCAAATCTGAGGCTAATAGTGATCAAGATCATATAAATCCTGAGAAAGACGCTAGAGATAGTGAAGAAAGTTGTGTTGATAATTCTACTTTAGTGGCATATGAGAGGGAGGAGGAGCTTCATGAGCAAATTAGTGTGGATCCAAGTGGAACACCACAGATTAGTGGTGTTGATAAGAAGGCAGTGAATGATACAGTAAATACGCCTCTGAGGAGGTTTACTAGGTCATTAGTCAATCAAGAAAGCGATTTGGAAAATCCTAGTTTGGAGAATCGTATCGAAGCAGCAGGCGGGGCCAAGGTAGATGTGTATGCCAATGATGTCCAAATGGGTGATGTTCAAAGCCCTTCAATTGTAACTCCCAACAGGCGTGGAAGGCCTAGGAAATATATTAGGAGTTTCCCATCGAAGCTGAAGGAACTTTTCGATTCTAGAATACTTGATGGACTAACTGTATACTACTACCTTCGAGGTGCAAAGGTATATATATGATGGCTTTTCCTTTCTGTTTTTATTCGTGTAAAAGAGATTTTATAAGTAGCTGATGTGTATCTCATCATCTTAGATGGGAGAGGCAGGGGCTAAAGGGCTGAAAGGAGTAATAACAGGATCAGGCGTTTTGTGCTTTTGTGGTGCCTGCAAAGGAACTCGAGTTAGTGATTGATATTTACTATTTCTTTAAGGTCTTGTAATTGGTCTTGCCTAATGCCTATCAGGTTGATGTAACTTTGTAAAATTTAATTTCCTAAGGTGGTAAGCCCCGCCGTGTACGAGCAGCATGCTTCCAGCACAAACAAGCGCCCGCCTGAGTATATCTTGCTGGAGTCTGGATGCACACTTCGTGATGCCATGAATGCAATCAAGGAGACTCCCTTTGATAGGCTAGAAGAAAGACTTCGTGTGGTAGTTGGACCAGATTTGAAGAAATCTAGCCTTTGTTTCAATTGCCAAGGTTGCTCATTGGTCCATTTGGTTTGCGCAACATTATAAAGACTGTTTTCACTTGCAGTTTTTTTGTTTTTAAAGAATTCAGACTGGTTACATCTAATTGATTGCAGGTCCACTGGTTGAGCCTTGTGAAACGAAGTCATTATTTTTATGTAACTCTTGTTTGGAGAGAAAGGAGCTAGACATCCACACCACTCCTTGTAAAGCAAACAGTGCTCTTAAGGGGTATAGCTCATCTTTCTTTCTTTTCTACCTTTTCTTTGCAGCTTAATCATATGAAAAGTAGATGAAAAATATACAGTTACCCTGTTCTGTTAGTTTTTTAGACTGGGTGGAAGGTAAAATGAAAAAGTAGCTGATTTTATTTCGGAAAAGGATTTTCTAATTATGTAACGTGGATTGTGAGCTGTATATTTCTCTATTGTAACTTCATTTTTGGGTCTATCTAGTACGACATTAACTATGTTGACCTTTATCTATTTGACTGATTCTAAATCAGCCCTCAATTTCCTACAGATCGTCTAACCCAAGTGTGGTTCCAAAAACTATTCTTAGTAAGTCAATATCCAGTCCTCGCCAAAGTAGCAGGCGAGAGCAGCCAACAAAAATGTGAGTATTGTTGTTATGTGGATGGCGCCAACTATGTGATGGCTCTGCTTTCTTTTAGTATTTGTTGCATTTTGTGTCTAGGCTGCCTGTTAAAATATAGTTACTGCACTCTGTCATTTATCTATCATTCTGGAAAATGATTATATGAGACTGTAATATTAGAAATGGGCCATATACTCTTCACTTATGTGGTGGCGTGAGCAGACGGAATTATGTTATGATACAGTTTTTTCCCACATTTCGCTTAGTTATGCGCCAATTGTGGGGAACAACTATATCATGTTAGGACTAAGATACATAACTTTCGAGATGTTATCGATTACATGATCATGTTTGTTGACCTTAGTTTATTGCCTAGACTAAATTTATCTTGGGGTTCTACAGGTCACCTGAGCCAGATGTGGTTTCAGGAACTATTCCGAGTGAGCCAAAATCCAGCTCAAAAAGCAACAGCCAAGGGAGACTAACCAGAAAGTGAGTAGTGTTGTTAGAAGTGTTAGCACTTATCCGATGTATTTATGTTTGAGTGCTAGATTATTTGTCTTTCCTTGCTATGCGTCATGCTTATATTAATTCTCCGCCTATCTTTTTGTCATTTTGAAAGGGACGTGCGGCTGCACAAGCTTGTTTTTGAGGATGATATACTGCCAGATGGGACAGAAGTGGGTTATTTTCTTGCTGGAAAGGTTAGATCTGCATGAAAAATGTTTTTTTTATATATCGCGTTCTTGTAACTTTGCCTACTCCAACCATTTCGCTCACTATGCAGAAATTGCTTGTCGGCTACAAGAAGGGGTTCGGGATACATTGTACCTGTTGCAACAAAGTGGTAAGCTCTGTTCAACGTCAAATTATCATTCCTGGCATTTAGTATAGGGCTCTCGATCAACCTATATATATTTTTATGGACCAGGTCAGCCCTTCATCGTTTGAGGCCCATGCTGGCTGTGCAAGTCGTCGAAAGCCGTAAGTACCTTGGAGCTATATCCATATTTATGCTCTAGTAGTAATGGATCTGTACCTGTTCTACGGCTTCTTGTTTTTTTTTTTCAATATTCTGATATATTCAAACTTTAGACCGAGGATTTTGATAGTGAAGTTACTCCCAGTTTCCTTGGATACCTGAAAACAAGAGACATTCTTCCATTTTATCTGCGTGTGTTCTGTATAGACAAAGAGCATAAATACCTTTACCCATACGTTACAATAAAAGGTCAACACATTAAATGATAGGTACTTTGAAATGCCGCGTATAGACTAATTAGTAGTAAAAGCTGTGAATCCTTGAGATCATTGATTGTTTGTGTACTTCTATTAATGATCAGGTTTCATCACATTTATACAACCAATGGGGTGTCTCTTCATGAGCTATCAGTAGTACTGTCAATGGACCAGAGGTTTTCCGTCCTTGAAAATGATGACCTTTGCAGTATCTGTAAGGATGGGGGTGAACTCTTGTGTTGTGATACCTGTCCAAGATCATACCATATAGGTTTGCTTTTTTGCAACATTTTCATGTTTGTTTGTTAAAATTCTTCTATTTCTATGTTAAAGAGTTTTTGGAGCGTTTACTTAATGGAGCTTCCCTTTTCTGTTTTGGTTTTCTTTCTTTCTAGTGTGTGCTTATCTACCAAGCCCTCCAAGTGAGAGGTGGTCCTGCAAATTTTGTGTGAATAATATTGAGAGAGAGAAGTTCGTGGAGAGCAATCCCAATGCCATTGCAGCAGGTAGAGTTGACGGAGTTGATGCAATTGCCGAGATAACTAAAAGAAGCATTCGAATTGTCAGCTCCTTTGAGAGTGACCTCCCAAGTGTATGCGTGTTATGCAGGTGAATATCAAGCTCTTTCTATTATTTCAAGTATCTGTCGGTTGCCTTTTTAGTTTCTCATTAATGACTTGCCTAATTTTCTGTAAAAACCTTATCAAAATTGTAATGCGGTAGTTTAATGACGTCTTATTTGGCTAATAATTTATTTCATGTTTCTAATTCATATGGCTTGTAGTTTCTAATTCTTTCCTTCTGAGCATGACCTTTACTTTTTTTTTTTGCTTTTGCAGAGGCCATAATTTTTCCAGGTTGGGCTTTAATCCTCGCACTGTGATCATCTGTGATCAGGTATCTTGTTTGGCCATTGCTGTGTTGGAACCTCTGCCTCTTAATTCTACATCTGGTTTACACCATTTTCTGTTTCTATGTTTTTTTCCTCAGTGTGAAAAGGAGTTCCATGTTGGCTGTTTGAAAGAACATAACATTGCTGATCTCAAGGTACTCTACTACCTCTTTGGATCTTTCTTTCTCTCTTTGTTATCTCTCATGTGTTCAGGAGTATAATAAGTCAATTTATACTCTTTATAAGACTAGCTTGATTGCTTATTATCCATCTCTTTCATCCTTGTTTATGTCTTAACAGGAGCTACCTGAAGATAAATGGTTCTGTTCTCTTGGGTGCAAAACGATCAACACTTCATTGGGCGATCGGATAGTTCTCGGAGAAGAGAAGCTTAGTAACAACTTTCTTAATTTTATAAGGAAGAAGCAAAAAGCTAACGAAGAAAGCTGTCCAGATGACAATTCCACTCCAGACATAAGATGGAGGGTCCTTAGTGGAAAGTTGACCTCTTCGGATGATACAAAGTTGCTTGCGAAGGCACTTTCTATTCTTCATGTAACTCTCGGCCACATTTCAAACTCTTGTTTTTCCCTTCTATTCTTTATTGAGGTTTAACTCTGTTTGTCCCTTGTAACCATGGAATGGTATAGGAGCGATTTGATCCTATCTGTGAATCTGGGACCAGGGGAGATCTAATTCCAGCCATGGTTTACGGGTAAGTGCAACTGCTGCAACGTCAATCACTTTAGTGCATTACTCTGCCTGCTCATTATACCCACTAGCTGATGAACCACTTTTGGGTGTGAAACAGAAAGAAAGCCAAAGGCCACGATTTCAGTGGCATGTACTGTACCATGTTGACTGTGGAGTAAGACTCTTCTTCTTTCCAGTCTCTATATATATATTTTTTGTGACGCATATTTCATCTTGTTAATAAATTTTGTTTTTGATTTTGCCTCACTTGTGCAGTGAAGTGATTGTTTCCGTAGGAATCTTTAGGATTTTCGGTTCAGAGCTTGCGGAACTCCCTCTGGTTGCTACCAGCAGAGATTGTCAAGGACAGGTAAATTAGCTTTTTTTGACGCTGAACCTTCTTTATTTTCTTTGTTGTTTGAGAGATGTTCATGTTCCTTATAGAATGGTCAAAGAATCGATCCGCTCTTACTTTCAATTACATACACGGCTAAGTTATGCATCCAAGCCACTTGTTTTAGTGCAAGTGCCTGTGTTTGTTTCAAATGGCTTAAGAGTGTGTGAATGGTAAATGTGTAGCACATTACCCGCATTTTGATCCTGATCAGTAGAGAAAATGCTTGTGATTACTCCTTTATGTTCTGTTTAATTTTACTGTAGGGTTACTTCCAATGCCTGTTTGCTTGCTTCGAGAGGCTACTCGGGTCACTAAACGTGAAACATCTGGTGCTACCAGCAGCAGATGAAGCCAAATCCATATGGACCGACAAATTTGGTTTCAGCAAGATGACCGAAGAGGAGGTAAAACCTATAATAATACTAATGCTGGTCAAAAAACATTATAGAATAATACGATCCCACATCTCTGATACACATGTATGTGTTTGTGGGTGTTTTATAGGTGAAAGAATACAGAAAAGACTTCTCGGTGATGATCTTTCATGGAACATCTATGTTGAGAAAGACAGTGCCTGCAATGAGTAAACCTGAGGAGGACAATATGGAGGAGTAAAAGCTCAAGGTTGTCTTTAGTTTTCTGGAAGTTGGTGAAACGATTTGAAGTTTTTTTTTAATTCTTGCCTTTGATCTAATTTCGGGTAGTAGCCGTATTCGTGTACAGGTTTTTTCCCCTACTGTGTCTTTCTTAACAATGGAAAGAGAAGAAAGATACAGTGAGGGGAAGAGAATTTGGTTTTGGTAGAAGATTAGAGAGAGAAAGAGAGGGAACAAGTTTGAGAAGTAAATGAGTATAAGCTACTCCTAACTCTTCTTTGGGCATTATTTTGGGGTTTGTTATGATGATATATGCAGCTAATTTTTTGTATTATTTGAAGCCAAGAAAGAGAAAAAATTCTCAATTTCACCTTATCGGCTTTCAAACTAGCATTATTTCGACTTAAAAAAAATGTAATCTGACTGCTTACAATAAACATGTATATATGCCAACTTTAAATGTAATATGACTGTTAACATTGTTATAAATAAATAAATATATAATATATTGTATATACAATCAAATGTATATATGCTAAGACAATCCTCTTCTCTTGTAGTGGTAAAGATAGTGGTAAAGATGCAGAAAATGAAGACATTATTATACTTTTTTCATTTTTTTAAAAAAATTTAGATTATACTACTTTCAATTCTTAAATTTGTAATCAAAATTTAAAATTTAAATAAAAAAAAAAGACAAACCATAAGCATGATTTGCCTACCCCTAATTTATAGTCAAGTAAAATCATTTTCCTCCGTACTTCTCTATCAGATAATGTTAATATGTTAGGAAATTGGCGAATAATTAGTTTCTAAATTTGGAAAGGAGATTAAATTCTTTAAACCGGGACATTGAACCGATTTAGTTTACATTGAACTGTAATCAAAAAAGTTTTAGGTTCCACTGAGCGGGAAGGAGTGCCTCTTAAGAATTTCAAACTCAAGAAAGCAAAACCAACCGTTGGTCAAATACCCCTTTATATCCTCATAATTACATATCTGCCATTACCCTTTATTACCTTTCACTTTCCTCTTCTCTTTTCCCCCAAAATTCATCTTCGTTTTTTTTCGGTCGCACTGCTTCTCAAGGTTTGCGTCTCTTCCCATTTTCTCTCGTTTAGGGTTTCCGAACGATTTGATTTCTGATTTTTGCTGTTTCTTCTTCCTTATTAGGGTTTCGGACCGCTCAACTTTTCGTAAGTTCAACAGACGTTTCTGGGTTTCTTAAGCGATGGGTCAGATCCAGTACTCAGACAAATATTTCGATGATACTTTCGAGTACAGGTAAATCCTCAGTTTGATTTGATTCTCTTCCCATTTTAATGGAGTTTTTGATTTCTTATCGCGTGATTTCTTTTCACTCACACAGGCACGTCGTGCTTCCTCCTGAAGTTGCTAAGCTTCTACCGAAGAACCGTATTCTTTCGGAAGTAAGTTTAATTAGGGTTTCCTCTATCTTTACGTTTTTTTGTTATTCGCATTGTGATGGAATTGTGATTGTGAATCTAATTCTTGAGCATCGAACGCTTTTGAAATTGAAGTTTAGGAGAATCAAATTGATAGTTTCGGCTTAGGATTTGAAGTTCTGCTCATCATTTGCCTCTCTGGGTTTCTCTTGCTTTGATCCGATTACAACTTTTACAAATAAAAAAGACTGTTTGGAAAATCGAATTGACAGTTTTGGCTTAGGATTTGAAGTTTGCTCATCACTGCTTCTCTGGGTTTCTTTTGCTTTGATCCGATTACAACTTTTACAAATACAAAAGAGTGTCTTCTCTACTTGTTTGTGATCTTAACACCTTTGGATCCATACCTTAATCTGAAAAAAACCCAGAGATTTGACTGTACACCTAGTTTTTTTTTGTTTTGAGAAGTTGACATTTTGCGTTCTGCTGCATCATTTCTCTTCTCAAATTAGAAGGGAGCTTTATAATTGTGTTCTTGAGAGAGTCGACTTCATGTTTTGTGATTACAAAAATTGCTTAATGGAGTTCATAAACTTGTTTATAAGTTTAGAGAAATGTAATGGGGGAATTTTAGGTTTAGTGATGAAGTTGAATCTGTCACCACAATAGCTTCTCCTTCCTGATTTGATCAAGAGGTGAATCTTTATTTACAATCTTGCTTTTTACAGAGTGAATGGCGTGCGATAGGAGTGCAGCAAAGCCGAGGATGGGTTCATTACGCAATTCATCGTCCTGAGCCACACATCATGCTTTTCAGGAGGACTCTCAACTACCAACAACAGAACCAAGCTCACAACGTGATCGCTAAGTAGAGTTCATAAAAGACTTTTCATAAAATATCGGTTTATGTCTCTCATAAACACTCTTATGCATTCTCCTAGTTTTATTATGTTTCATGAATTCTCTTTTCAGTAGAGAGGATTGTGTGATTTGGTAGAAACCACTTTTATTTTTATGTTATGCAAGTCTGGTTCTTTGCTAGACTTATGTTTGTTTTCACGTTGAACTTTTGTCTATGGTTATAATACCGTTATTTCTTTGGCTTCTTGTTCTTTCGAAAAATAATGTTGGGGTTTTGTATTCATCCATCGTTGTATTTAGTTTCGAGATGTTTCTTGAAATAGGACTTGTTTAGATGTACAAGAAAGCATGTGCCCATGTTTTCTGTATGGAATCGAATCCTTTAACCAAATCTTGTGAACATCGAATTGGGATAAAGTACATTGGCATCTTCTTGCCTTTAAAATCTGATTCTTTTGTTAATTTGTTTTTATAATTTCTTAGTGATTTTTTGGAATTAGAATTGGGTTTTTGAAAACTGTGAAGTTTCAACATAGTTTATAGTCGATGAAGATTGAAAACATATGGTCACTAACATATACATATCTTCAGTTTAAATTTTACAAAATTAAACAAAATTTGATCTACTAAATCGTAATTTAGTTTTCAAATCCAAGAATTAATCCGATAGCATATGTAATTTAAAAATAAATATTTTGAACAAACTAAACCAAAACCGTCGGTTTTGAGTAAAATCAACTGACCAAACCAAAACAAAACTGACGTTTTGAGTAAAAGCAACCGTAGAACTGCTAGTGAACCACCGAATTTCAATCCAAATTTGGCTCAACGTGTCCGGTTCATCTTTTAATTCGCGGCTGCCAGAACCGAGCCCTATCGTGTCTTCTCTCTATTATTCTCTTCAGTAAAAATTCAAAATCAAATAAAGCAAAATAAAGATTAGTTGAATACCCCTTAAAATTCACATAATTACATATCTGCCCCCAATCACTTTATTCCATTTCATTCTCTCTCTCACTTTCCTCTTTTTTAGGATTCCACACTCCTACAAACGATCGATTCCTGATTCTTCTCCAGTTCACTTTCCCTTCTCCGTTTCCTTCGTTAGCGTAAGGGTTTTAGCTTAAGAGATGGGGTGATTGTAAGCTTGGAGATTTGATAAGAGATAGTTTCGGCTTATGATTAGGATTTGAATTTTCGATGTTCATGGCTATTCTGGTTTTCTATGGAAATCTTTGCTCTGATCTAAATTGCAACTGTTTACATAGTGTTTATTGTTTCATCCGGAAAACTCAGAGATTTAACTGCACTCTTGTATAAGAAATTTGAAGATCTGGGTCATGTTCAAATGGAGAAATCATAAGCTTGTTTGTTCATCAATGTAGGAACTTGTTGTTGATAGTGATGACGAATCTACTTCTTGACATTCTTCTGTGAATCTCTTCTAATGGTGAATGGTTTTGTGGAATTGATAGAACGAGTGGCGTGCGATAGGAGTGCAGCAAAGCCGTGAATGGGTTCATTATGCGGTTCATCAGCCCGAGCCACACATAATGCTCTTCCGGAGGACTCTTAATTACCAGCAGCGGCAGGAGAATCAAGCTCAGAACTTGGTTGCTAAGTGAGTCATGGCATAGTAGAAGTTATGCGTGATTCGATGGAATATCGAATTCAATGTTTCATGTAAACATGGTTTGTGAACCAACAACTCTGATGATGACTTTGTGTTCATGGGATTATGTGAGTGGTACGTAAACTCTTATAAAGTTCTTGTGTTATGCAAAACTGGTTCATGTGAATTATATATCTTCTGCTTTCTGCTTAGAGGTGTCAAATAGGCGGGCTGTTCATGGTCAGACCAAGTCCAAATCATTGTGGACAATAATGGTTATGTCCAAATGGAAAAATTGTTCAAATGGGCTAGCCTAATTTTGTCTGCAGCTAAAAGTGGGTCTGACCTTATGGTCATTGGTAGGCCCAATGGTTTTTAATCTTTAGGTTTTGTAGTTTTTTTGGATTTGGGGAAAAATCGGGAAACATCATTTTTGTCGCCATCAATTTTTCATCGATGCTTTTCTCCATTGATTCTGCTCATATCAAGATTCTTAAGTTCTGGGTTTTCGTTTTTTTATTATGGGGTTCGGAAATTGTATTCAAAGTTGGATCTTCATCTGGATTTCTATGGATTTCTATTTTTTTTTGATTCTGGGTTTCCGAAATTATACTAATCAACGCTAAAGCTTCGGTAACCATTGCAGCAGATTCAGTAAGCTCTCTTCACTATAACGGACTTTTACTTTCCGATTTCTGATTTGATGTGATGTGATGTTCATTGTTTCTGACTTGGATCCACAAACAGAACAATCCGCTTTACATACAGAGCTTCACGGATGCCGACGATGCCCTCAAGCTTCACCACATCGTTCATTGCTCACTCGGCGTCATCGAAGAGTGAGGTCCTTTGCTCTATCCATTTCAATCTCTTTCTGCTTTGCTCATCTCTTCCTTTTCCCAATAGTTCCCGAGGCTTTGTTCTTTCCGAGGTGCGGATACAACTTGTCTCCTTGAGTTATAAATATAGAGAGTAATGTCGATTTGGCTTTGAATCGTGTCAATCTGTTTCTTCAGTGAACATTCCGAAAAGGTCTGGTACAACATTAAATGAAACATTTTTTGGCTTGCTCTATCCGACAGTGAACTACAAAGTGTAAGCACCAAAGCAGTGTCAAATTACATTCTCTCCAGTTTCAAATGATTTACATACTAAGCTTTGAATTTCTTTTGTGTATTTGTTTCAGATGGATAACGACACTCTAAACTTGTGTGATGAAAACTGTTTGAGTGAGGATGATATAGATGATGTGATGGAAGAAAACAATCCTGCAGGAGGCGATTCTCTAGTGAGCACTGCTGAGACTACAAAAGGTCCACGTACCAGTCGTAGACATTCAAAATGTTGGAATAATTTTACAATAGTTGGCAAAATATTACTTGATGGAAAGCATGATATTGCGTGCAAGCATTGCAAGTTCGCTACTGCTTAGATCTAAGACAAAATGGAACCACTACATTGCTTCACCATATGCGAGTGTGTTCAAAAACCCCTGGAAGCACACCTGGAAGTAATAGAAAGCTAGATATTTTGATTTTTTTGTGAAATGATTGCAGTAGCTATAGTTGAGCATAATCTCCCTTATTCGTTTGTTGAGTATAGAAGAATTAGAGAAGCTTTTGCTTATGCTAATTCTGTTATCGAGTTCTAGAGTAGAAATACGGCTGCAGCAGATGTTCTGAAGATATTTGAAAAGGAGAAGAAGAAGCTTAGGCATATATTGACTGAAATTCCTGGTAGAATCTATTTAACCACTGATTTATGGAGAGCTATCACTATTGAAGGTTATATTTGTATGACTGCGCACTACATTGATGGTGGCTGGAATTTGAGAACAAAGATTTTGTCATTCTGTGCATTTCCGCCTCCTCACACTGGTGTTGCTATAGCAATGAAAATTCTGGAGTTATTGAAGGAATGGGGAATAGAGAGGAAAGTGTTTTCTGTCACAGTGGACAATGCTTCTTCAAATGATAACATGCAAGGTATTTTGAAGAGACAGCTTCGACAAGATTTGATGTGCAATGGAGAGTTTTTTCATGTAAGATGTGCAGCTCATATTCTGAATCTTATTGTGCGAGATGGATTAGTATGATAGATGAAGCTTCAGAGAAAATCAGAGAGAGTGTGAAGTTTGTGAAAGCTTCAGAGTCTAGAGAGCAGATGTTTCAGAACTGTGTGGAGACAGTCAGACTTCATTCAAAATCTGGTCTGGCTTGAGATGTTACAACTCGGTGGAACTCTACTCATTTGATGCTCTCTAGAGCTATCAAGTATAAGGATGTGCTGCGCAATCTCTCAGATGTAGAGACAAGTTATACAAGTTTTCCATCTGATCTAGAGTGGACAAGAGCAGAAATGATCTGTGAGTTCTTGAGTCCTTTTGCTGAGATGACAAATTTAATTTCTGGCTCTTCTTATCCTACTGCAAACTTGTATTTCATGCAAGTTTGGAAGATTGAATGTTGGTTGAGAGTTCATGAGTGATCTGAAGATGAAGATATTTATGAAATGGTGAGCATTATGAATAAAAAGTTCGACAAATATTGGGAGGAATATAGTGATATACTAGCGATTGCTGCCGTTTTTGATCCAAGACTGAAGTTCGCATTTCTAGAGTACTGCTACAACACTCTAGATCAGTCTACTAGTAAGATGAAAGTGGATCATCTTCGCAAGAAAATGTATAAGCTCTTTCGAGCTTATAAGAAAAATCCAAAGAACATAATTGTAAGCTCTTCAGAAGCAAACACGGAAGACCAAGTTCCAGCAGGTTACGGTGTAAGTTTTCTACATACTACATATATATGAATATCTTTCGGTTATAGTTTGAATGTTTAGAATAAAGGATTCTGGTTTTGTGATAATGCAGGGGTTTTATGCATATTTTTCACAAAATGCTGTTGGTAATGGAAAGTCAGCTTTGGATGTATACTTGGACGAGCCTGTGATGGATATGGCTGCTTTCAAAAGCTTGAATGTCCTGACATATTGGAAAGACTACGCAACCAGGTTTAAAGAACTCTCATCTATGGCGTGTGATGTGCTTTGCATTCCTATTACTACAATGTCTTCTGAATCATCATTTAGCATAGGAAGTCAGGTACTTAACAAGTATAGGAGTTGTCTTCTACCTTCAAATGTGCAAGCATTGATTTGTGCAAGGAATTGGTTGCGTGGGTTCGAAGAGATTCGTAAGTAGCATTTACTTTATGATTTGTTGTTTATGCTTTGAGAACTAGTTTGATTTGGTAACTAACTCCATTTGTTTTTTTATAAATTTTGAAGCTGATGTTGAATTTGATATCATGGAGGAGAACATAGAAGATGATGAAAAGGAAGCATGAAGAATGGTGTGGACCTCCTCACAAGTCATAAGTAACAACGAGTCATCACACTCTCTCTACTATGTTTGTCATTCATTCTCACATATCTATCTTTTTGTTTTAAGAGAACTAAGATTGATTAGTCTCTTGAGTGTTTAAGTTGAAACTTGAAACTTGATTGTATTTTGAAGACAAGTTATGTGTGTTTTTGCTATGGTCTTTAAGGATTTGAAACTTGATTGTATTTTGAAGCTATCTGTTTATTCGTTACTTTACATTTATAATTGTATTGGGCTGACCGTGGACAGCCCACTTAAATATGGTCAAATTTGGACATGGACATATTCGGACATGGTCATTTTTGGGCCTGACCATATTTGTCCATAAAAAACGATTGTCCATTTGGACACACCCATTTAGACGTGGACACGCCCATCTGACAGTTTTCTGGAAGTTGGTGAAACGATTTGAATTTTTTTTTTTAATTCTTGCCTTTGATCTAATTTTGGGTAGTAGCCGTATTCGTGTACAGGTTTTTTCCCATACTGTGTCTTTCTTAACAATGGAAAGAGAAGAAAGATACAGTGAGGGGAAGAGAATTTGGTTTTGGTAGAAGATTAGAGAGAGAAAGAGAGAGAGAGAGGGAACAAGTTTGAGAAGTAAATGAGTATAAGCTACTCAAACTCTTCTTTGGACATTATTTTGGGGTTTGTTATGATGATATATGCAGCTAATTTTTTGTATTATTCAAGCCAAGAAAGAGAGAAAAAATTCTCAGTTTCACCTTATCAGCTTTCAAACTAGCATTTTTATCATCGACTTAAGAAAAATGTAATCTGACTGATTACAATAAACATGTATATATGCCAACTTTAAATGTAATCTGATGGTTAACATTGTTATAAATAAATAAATAAATAATATATTGTATATACAATCAAATGTATATATGCTAAGACAATCATCTTCTCTTGTAGTGGTAAAGATGCAAAAGATGAAGACATTATTATACCTTTTTTATTTTTTAAAAAAATTTAGATTGTATTATTTTCAATTCTTAAACTTGTAATCAAAATTTAAAATTAAAAAAAAAAAGACAAACCATAAGCATGATTTGCCTACCCCTAATTTATAGTCAAGTAAAATCATTTTCCTCCATACTTCTCTATCAGATAAAGTTAATATGTTAGGAAATTGGCGAATACAATTAGTTTCTAGATTTGGAAAGGAGATTAAATTCTTTAAACCGGGACATTGAACCGGTTTAGTTTACATTGAACTGTATATAGGCATGTCAAACGGGCTGGCCCGGCCCGGGTCGGCGCGAAACACATAAAGCCCGTATATATTTAAGTCTGACACGATAATATATCGGACCTATAATTTAAAGCCCGGCCCGGCCCTAACAGGGTTGTCGAGCTTTTTTGGGCTTTTTAGAAAACAAAATAAATTTTAAAAATAATAAGAAATATAGTTTTATCAAATCTAAAAGCAAAACTTTAACTTATAAATTCAAATAAATTCTAAAATCAAATAGAATTAAATAAATAAGTAATGTAAATTATAGAAATGGTAGAAATCGAGATGAGAATCTTCAGGATGAAAGTATGAATGCTTCTTTAAACTAATTTAGTTTGAGAATTGATGTCATATGAAGGCACACAAATAAAAATTAAGATTTTATATT